CTTTCCGAGGTCGGCTCGCTCAGCGCCCACACCAGTCCGCCATTGTCAAAACCATGGTGATATATATATATTTTTTTTGGGGTCTAGAAGTCAGTCACCAAGCAGTCTGAATTTCAGCTGCAGTCATCCTAGCCTCATCAAGGTTCTCGTGCGTTTTCATCACCAAATTCAGTCAAAGGCAGCATCCCGCGTCGTACCGTCGAGAAGTCTTTTCAGCATTGTGGTCGGGTCTTCTTCAAGGTTTTATCAAGAGTCCGCCTCCTTCTGTCCTTGTCAAAATCAAGGCCGCTTCGAGGTATATCTTAGTCAATTCAGTTTGGATTCCGGATTAGTTAAGTGCGCGCATGAACCCAAACCGAAGCCGACCTTGCTGCTCGTCACTAAAGAAGAAGTAATCGTCAGAAGGCTGCAGCGGTGAAGCCCACGGGGATGACGCCGGCACATGAGGGGGAGGTGGAGTACATGGTCGAAGGGCTTTGCCACTCTGATTCAGCTGCCATGGTCGGCGTCGCTGCTGAGGGGATAAATCTGGGGGTTAGGGTTCTTGGATTGATTTTTTTTGGTAAACATGATTGATATGCTAAATAAACAGCTCGCAATTGGGAAGTGTTTTTTAGGTTTTGATTGGTCCTAGTTTAATTTCTCATCAGCGATCAAATTGTAGATTGTAAGGGCTAACTATGATGAATTCACAGATTCAATGGATTTGGTCGTAACATAAAATTATTTAGTAAAGAGGAAAAATAAAGAGGAAATTTTATTTAATACGGAAGGGGCAATTTAGTCATTTTAACGATGAGTTAACAGAATTTTGGATGAAAGCATATGTTTGTTTCATTTTGATAATAGAAGGTACATTTGTGAAAAAAATAGTAAGGGGCTATGTTTATTAATTAGCAATAGTACAAGGGCAAAATGCCATTAACCCTATCTTAAATATGTCAAGCAACCATGTGGCAGTTTCACTGAGCGAAGTCATGTAATCTTAGGAGTTTAAAGTTTAAACCAATAATATTGGTGTAATCTTTAGCGGCTCAAGATAGGGTGCATAACCATGGGTTATGCACCTATCAATAACCAAATCTGGACCCTTCATTTAGAAAATCCAGATCTAAGGATGGAGAATTAAAGGCTATTTTTATTTTCATTATCTTTCTTAATTGACTCATATCTTTTTCGTTTTAACTCGGATTTTAATTTTTTTTGCACAGATGGAACGAGTTCACCGTGCTCTACAAAATGAGATCAATTTTAAATATTTTTTTAGGAAAAAAATTCTGGCCTCTCGGTACCAACTGCATACCATATGGTATCTTCTTCGTTTTTAATTCGTTTTTGAAAACGTTTGCACAGCAGGGATGAGTTCATCATGATCTACTAGATCTACACATTTCTGGGTGAACAAATTACAGGACAAAAAAATACCACACAATACCATACAATACCACCCTGGTACGGGGTGGTATTGTATGGTATCTTCTTCGTTTTTAATTCGTTTTTGAAAACGTTTGCACAGAAGGGACGAGTTCATCATGATCTATTGGATCTACAAATTTCTGGGTGAACAAATTACAGGACCAAAAAATACCACACAATACCATACAATATCACCCTGGTACGGGGTGGTATCGTGTGGTATACAATGTTAAAAGTCGTAAATTACAATTAATATACTTCTACTATCATGTATTCAACCATCCTACAGTATTGGTTTGTTCATACCACCATGGTACGTTTTTCAAAACATAGGTATGCTTTTATTTCAATACCAGTCAATACCATATGGTATAGGCTGGTAAAAAATGGCTCAATTTTTTTTGTTCGAAAAATATATTAAAGTGAATATCATTTTGAAGAGCACAATTAATCTGATCTAACTGTGCAAAAAAAATTAAATTTCGACTTAAAATGAGCGAGAAATCGTCCGTCAAAGATTAAAGAGGGAAAAATTAAAGGCTTTTCATGAGAGAGAGGATGCTGATGTCATGCTGATGTGGACGGGTTACTCACGGTTACTCACCATAAGGTTACTGACCTGATCCATTCCCCCCTTAGCTATCGTTTGCTTGTGGGATTTGTGTGATGGATTTGGTACTCAAATCCCAAGCATCAAGGAGTTTGCACAAATCCTTTGTTTGTTAAGAGACACAAATTCGTGGGGTCCACAGATTTGGACAATTATTTTAGATCCAAATTCGTGGACCCCACGTATTGCAAATCCCACATTTCATTTGGGATTTGATAATTTAGCAAAGTTGTTAGACAAATCCATCATAAATCCAAAGGTTTTTAAAACCCAAAACCTTCATTTTCAAATCCATCATAAATCTATTGACCATCACAACCAGTTAGAAAGCAAATTGTTAGCATTTATACCAAGGAGATCCGAAATTTTGGTTATGTTGTACTGAAGTTAGAAAGCAAATTGTTAGCATATATTAGTAAGCTTGTTGCCACTTAGTATTTAAAAGAGTAATTCCAATATGTTTCCATTCAAAAACGATCACTCATATTAGTCACTTACAAATCAACACAGAGGAAATCCCACTTCATTCAAGTTTCGTGGCGATAATGACTTGTGTGAAATTTTTAAAGATAGATTACCCAACTTCATTACTACATACATTGCAATCATAAATCAAATTCGTAGTTTGCAAATTACCCAAATAAACTACCGTTTTACGCGTCTAGTGGGAAGAATCTAACTAGTCACCCAATAATAGAATATAATTTTAAGGTTTTTGTTGGTAAGGATTATTGTTATATTATCTTCCTTTTGTTCTTTCATGTTACAACGAACAAAGTGTGAGTGGTTAGGGATTAATGGATTGAAATCGGGATGTCTGTCGTCGCCATCTATCCACTTTCATCGTCACGAACAAAAGAGATTTCTTGCACCAATGACTATACACTTATATCGCCTTTTGTTTTCATGACTCTAATTTCCCCCTAAAATCGTTGATGATAAAAGAGAGCTTTCTACTAAACTATCTGGATTAGGAATTATCTTCGATCATCGAGTTTAAAATCGACTAATCTATCTATATATAAAGCAGATTCATGAGTTGAATTGTCTCCATTTCAAATTTCGAGCAACCAGAGTGAAAGTAGGAAGAGTATTTTTGTCTTCACAATTAGTTATTTATTTTGTATAAAAATATATTAGCACCAAGATTTGAACCATGGTCTCTTTAAACAAAGACAAGAAACACAACCAATTACACTAAACAAATATGTTGTGTACTTTCTATTACAAAACATACACAAAGTTAAAATATGAAAAACAGATGATTTTTGCATAACGAAAAGCTAGCTCACTAAGTCTCTTGTAAGTATCTTTATGGTGCTTGATACTTCAATTTTCATATTTTATTATTTTAGTTCTAGACTATCCTCCAATCTATAAAAATATATGAAGGAGATTAATGGGTTAAATTTTCTCAATTTCAAATATCTAGCAACCAGAGTGATTTTTTGAAGGAAAAAATGTCATTTACCACACTTTAATTGGAATGCTTCGTTTAAACATTTATGTTGGGCTTTAAATCTGTCGCATTGATTTTAGCGTTCCCTCTAGGCGTTAAATTCGTTGGGTTCTATTTCACTTTCTAATTTATTTTTTATTTTATTGTTATGCTGTTGGAGGGACGCAAACTCTCCCAGCCTCTAAACCTGGATAAGAGGAAACAAATAAGCGGAAATCTCGCAGTCATAACTCTGTCACCAACTCGGCCGTTCTTGGGACCTCTCCATGGACCCTACGACACATTTTCTGCCAGACAAAGCTAATCAAGGAGCACCATAGAGGCCCAATAAGTCTCCCTAGAGTCGTATTTCTCTTTGCAACCACACTTGCATATGAGAGTCGAAGATCCCAAGAGCTGCTACTGAAAAAATTACCAAATATGCTAACAATACTACTCGAGAAACAACATTCAAAAAACAAATGATCACATGTCTCATTATTGGCATGACACAAGATGCATCTATCTTCATTTATTTACTCCACCGCATCAAGTGGTTATATGTTGTGGTGCATCTGCCTTTCCAAATCCTCAAAAAGAGAAATACCAGGCGCGCAACGACCACATTTGAGAGACCTGTATTTAAAACAATCTACGTCAGGCAATAGCCACATGACAGTCCTGAATCAGAATCAAAATATGTTTGAAACCCAACAAGTGTTATAGTGCGACTGCAATACGAAATTGCAAGAAACAATGAGATAAAGTGTTAGTCGCACAATTACAAACCGGGCAGGAAAAACCCTCAACATTCTCATCATCAATTATTTCTTTATCACGCAAGACCTCCCGAACCGGAAGATAACCTTTGACTAAATGCCAGAGAAAACATTTCAACTTAGCCGGAAAACCACAAATATTTCCATGCACATGAATCAAACATAAGAAGAATAGTGAAATAGTCCTGTACAAATTCATAGGGCTGGAAAAGTAGATTAGACCGTTTGAAAAACCATGATCCAAATCGGACCACACAGTTTGGTCCGGATCGTAGACCGTTAAGTATGGTCTGGTCTGGTCGATGGTCTAAACATCATATAATACAGACCATTGAAGGAATTTATGTTTTAAAGAATTAAAACATTTTTTTCTTAGCTATTGGTTCAAAGTTTTGTGTGGTTGATTAATTAAATTATACATTTTTCGTTCACTGTGGTCTATCTGGACCAAACCGTACCGGATCAAACCGCACAAACGTGATCTGGTCTGGACCGTATAGTTTTTTGTTTGGTCTGTGATCTATACTCTAACCTCTCGATCTATATCATAGACCGCAGATATGGTTCGGTGTGAACCAGACCGCACTGTTTCCCATCCCTATAAATTGTTCGGATGCAGCCTGACTATAGCCTGATTTAACATAATACATACCGGAGGACTCGTAATGTCGTAGCCATACCATGTGATGGGAAAACGGGTAGCGAAAATAATTAGATGACTGATTTAGTAATTCAACCCGGACAAAATATTCACTGGGAAAAGAATAGAAAAAGACTAATCCAATTCATCTTCTTCCGAGTTCCGACTTCCGAGTCAAATTTTTTACTTTTGATTCGTTCCATCACAATCTTATTTTGTTTCAAATTCTGTTTACCAAAATCCCTGACCTGTCAAGTTCTCCACTCTTAAACCCTAGTGCCTGAAATCGCGCGGAGAGCAAAAGATCCCATAACTTCGTTTCCCTACACATCTGATTTCGGACCGTGCTAAACCTGTAAGTCCGCTTGTCTTCTTTCTTCTTCTGCAAATCGTATTCTTTGAACACTTGCTCGGTCGGGTGCTTCGTGGGTAGAGTTTGCACGGCGAGGAGAAGTAGTGAAATGCTTGAATCTGGGTTCTGTAGATTACTTCTCGAGGAAGCTGGTTTGAACTCGCGCTGAATTTGGGTGCCAATTTGTCCAATATTTCGAGAGTAAGTTATTAAATTTAGCGAATTTCTGGTCTAGCTTCGATATCATTTGGTCTATCTATGCAGACTCGTTGCCCGATTGGCTTTGTATGCTGTAAACCCTGTTGGAAGAGGGCCTCGTTGAATTTCTTAGGATCGCGGAATTAGTATTTAAACGAACAGCTCTTTTTTTCCTCGAGGCACTGCCTCTCTCGTATAATAACTTGAGCGCTGAAGTCATAATATTGAAGAGTAGGGAGAAAAACCGAATCTTTAAGAGAGAATTGGTTGCATGAACTAGGGTTAGATTTTAGTTCAAACTCCAACCTGATCAAATAGCTTGAAATATTGAACTCGGAATTTTGTGCTACGATTGTTTCTTAACCTGCCAGCCAAACCCTCTAGGGAGTCTAGATTGGGTTTTGTTGAGAACCTTAGTATATTGCATCTAGTTCCGTAACTTATTACAATGTCACAGTACTTGAATGCACTTCGTATCATCTGATTGTGAAATAATACTTGGTTTCTAGAGAACTAGTGCAGGAGACGTAATTGTTGATACACGACATTGTTGATACAATGTCACAGTACTTAGGGGAGTTGCATTTGTGGTGCACTCTCTTGTCGATATTCAGCAAGGATAGCCAAACAACTCTAGCTGGCCATCATCATTGGCAATAAACAATTTGCGAATGACAGTTTTTTAGATGCAAGTCAAGATGTTCTCAATTATCTATTGTTAGTACAATGTGCAGTGTTGCTTTCGTCATCTGGGAGTGTATATCAATTATCATGTGATAGAATGCTTTTCCAAGTTCTGATTTTCTTGGATCATCAATTGAGATGTATATTTTTCTTTTAAATGAATGTCTTGAATTCACACGAGTGTGCTTATTTTCTCAGTTAGAGGTTGGCACGGGCATTGATTGTAATGTCCAACAATTCCCAATCTTCTGGTGGTCAGGTATTTATGATATCTTTTTGAGTTTTGATTGTTACTTTGTCACTGTGAGATGTCCATGCCATTTTTACTGCATTTGCCTGAGTTATATTGTAGGCGAGACAAGTTTAATTGTTAAGAAATCATTGATGGCTTTGCTTTGTAAGTGATTGCTAACTGGTAGGAATTGCTCCCTACTCAGCTTTAGTTTTGCTTTTTCTGGGCTGGTTAGTAGTCAATTAAATAGCCATGTGGCTTATGCTGGTGAAGCACATAGAACTGAATTTTTATGGTTGGGTTTTTTGTTGTTGTTGTTGTTGAAGATCATATGTAGACACTTCTTTAGCTCTTTTGTATTTTTCCTCTTTGTTCTCGAGCAATTTTGAGTGAATCCTGAAGTGGTGCATGTTTGAATGTCAGTTTCGACCAATGGCTCATCAACCAGGGCAACCATTTATGCCTGTAGCTTCCCAACAGTTCCACCCTGTTGGACAAGGCATTCCCTCCTCCAACATTGGGTTACATCCAGCTCAGGGGCAGCAGCAGCATTATTCTCAACCAATGCATCAGTTGCCTCCTTGGTCTGGTCAGCATGGGCATTTGCCACCTTCATCACAGGCTGTGCCAATGCAGTATATGCAACAACATAGACATCTTACAGCTAGCTCCACACAGCCCCAGCAACCTGGTCACCCTATAGGTAACCATATGCCTGTGGTGGGTGCTTCAGGGGTTCCTTTCTCTTCAACCTATACTGTAAGATTTTTTCGCCTTGTTTCTTTGCCTTATTGAATGTCAAAAAGCATGTGGAAAATACTGATCTCATTTGGTCTCGTATTTAGTTTGCCCCATCTTTTGGCCAGCCACAGAATACTCATGTGCCATCACAATACCAGCCAGTTCCTCAGGCCCACACATCTGTTGCACCTGCTGGGGGTCAACCCTGGCTGCCCTCTGCTAGTCATGGGGCACCACCTGTTGTCCCAGTCCAGCCAACTGGCCAACAACCTCCGGTCTCTTCTTCTGATCCTGTAAGTTTCTTCATGGACATGCCAGTAGTAATACAATTAGAGGAGTACTGTTGACAACCCTTGAAATTGTCTGATCCATAAAAAAAAACCATTGATATCATCTGCCTGCTTTAAGGATGTTCTGTTAGTATTCTTAAAATCACTTCATGGCCATCAGAACTCGTATGAGGTTCCATTCTTCTTGAGTTGACTTTTATTTGAACCTATAAAGTTGGCTTTTTGTATGACCAATAGTTGCTTTATCTGATGTTAGCTTGGGATCTTTGGGGTGTGGTACACGGATAAAAATTGTAATTGCATCCTTTAGACACATGATTTCTAGTATTATGAATGTTTATGCATTGCGTCATTATAATAGTTAAGACCTTGAGATAAAAGGTTCACTATACTCCAGAGGATGCTGCTGTGACTGTCAGTAAATGTGGCAATGGTTCACTATACTCCAGAGCAAGTGTGTGGGGTTAAAATGATCTCACATTGTTTAAGTACTAAGAAGAAAATTGTGTTATCTATCAACCTTAGAATGAGTTGCCCCAATCAATACGTGCATTTTCTAAAATTCCTTCTTTTTTTCCAATTTATTGTGCGTGGAAATTCTAGGCAACAGATGGCTCTAGCACGGGCCCACAATCTGCACAGGATTGGCAAGAGCATACAGCTCCTGATGGGAGGAGGTTTGTTATACTTATATTTGCATTCTCTATAATTACTGATGAACATGATGGAGAATTGACTTTGACATTCTTTGTCTGAATAAATTATGCTTAATGCTTTCGGAATATAGTATTTTGTGGTATCAAATGTAACTAGCCTGTACTGCTTGAATTGGTAACTGTGTGGACGCATGATTGCAGATATTATTACAACAAGAGAACAAGGCAATCTAGTTGGGAGAAGCCGCTTGACTTGATGACACCATTGGAGGTGAGTTCTACTTCTCTACAGTTGCAATCTTACATTGTTTGCTCTCCTTTTTATCTGCGACATGGGCCTTAATAGTATTCTTGCATTGATGTTGGGTTTCTGGCTTCCCCTGAATTGGCCAAAATTGTTTTATTCTAGTTTTTGTTTCCTTTGCATGTCTATATTGGGTTGTAGATGTCATGGCAAGTGTGGACAAATCTAACAACTGCTCTATATGCTCGCTTTGAGGACCGGCTTTCACTTTCTCAAGGCAGGCAATATTTTTGTTGTTTGCTTCTGTTGCATAGAGAGACTTACTGTAGCTTTGCCGAAATTTGTTTATCTGCATTGAGTATTATGTATTTCTTTCTTATCATTTGCCCACCTTTTCATGCTGATGACTTGAGTGATATTTTGAACATGGTCACTCATTACTGACATATGTCTCTTGTCATTTACCTGGGGCTCTATGCTCTTTATTCTTTTAGATGGTATTCTTTTATTTGATTTTGAGTTTCTTTGAATAATTTTGGTTGGTCATTCCCGTCCAGTTGATGCTAGTGATTGCTATTAGTCCTTTAGTTGTTTTTCTGTATATGAATACTACTTATCTACCTCACTGGCTAGTGCAAGCTATGTTGAAAAGTTCTACCGATGATATCAGACTAGTAAAATCTTATACTCTTGCCGATGTGTTTTGTTGAAGTTGTCTGCTCTTGCGATGATTCCTTCTACTTGTTTCTTAGTCTATCTTGTCGGTGTTGGAGATTGTTTGGCCACTCTTTTCTGGTATGTCACTGTCAATGGTGCATGGTTTTGCCCATCAGAAGGGATACCTGAATTTTGGATGTCAATATAATGTTGTTTGTTTTCTGTTGAGCTACCTGCGGTAGGTCATCGAATTTATTGCTCGAGGGTTCTTTCGTGATTAGAGTAATATCAAATTCATGAGATATGATGATGGTTATGGTAAATTTTAGGATGCCTGGATAGATGCTGAAATGTAGGCGTTCGGTACCATGTGCATTTTTACGCAATGGTATTACTACTATTGCCTGATGTGAACGGCTGTGTTTCTTTTTCTCCTTTTCATTCTCCTTGAAACAAAGATTTGTTGAGTATTTCTTTTCTTTTCTTTCTAAATCTTTATAGGTTAAGCATTTAGTTTGTCGGTTCCTTTTCTTCCACCTTGTTTGTTTGTTTCATAACATTCGCCTGTACCCTTCACAAAGTTACTATATATATTCCTTACAAAGTTACCGTTGTGTGAATCTTCTCAGTTGTTTAACCTTTTAACTTGGCTGTAAATTTAACAGAGAGCTGATGCTTCCACTGTTTGGAAGGAGTTTACAACACCAGAGGGTAAAACGTGAGTCTGTAACTTCTTCTGCTTTTATACTGCCCCTTCTCCTTTACCTCTTCTCATCATGTTCCTTATGGAGAGGATGGTTTCTGCAGATATTACTATAACAAGGTTACAAAGCAGTCTAAGTGGTCTATACCTGAGGAATTGAAGGTATGACTCATGGTAACATTAATCATTCTTTGTCTACTAGTCTGTTCTTCATCTCATATTCTTATTGCTCTTCTAGTTAGCTCGTGAACAAGCTCAACATGCTGCTGCCCATGGGGCCCGGTTGGAAACAGATGTGCCTTCTCAGGGAATGTCTGCTGCCGCAGGAACTATTAGTGAAACAGCTAATGCAGCTAATTCAACTAGTTCTGCCGTCTCAGTATCTATTGAAGTAGCTGCAAGCCCTAGCCCAGTGCCAGCGGCACTTGCTGGAGCTTCCCAAATGACATCTTCCGGACCATCTGCTGCCGTTGCACAGTCCACCACAGCATCTAATGGTGCTATCCCAAACTCTGCAGTGGCAATGGATTCTTTACCCCCTGACGTTCCAGGAACTCCTGGTGCTGCTGCTGCTGCTGTTGTGAATGCTAAGACAACATTACCGTATGGCTAACTTTTCTGTTGTACTTTCTGATTCTTTGTTAGAGTCTATATTATCAAGTCTTTCAACTCTGTGTTATGTATTCTTCAATTTCTGCAGGAGTAACTTTGATAATGCATCATCTCAAGGTATTTCAAATTCAGGGGATGGATCTTCACGCGATAATGAGGTACTCTTGTTGACCTTTGTTTTTTGAAGTTCATCCTGATTGTGACTATTTTGCATACTTCAAGCATCAAGATACTATAAAACTGTTACCTGAGTTCTGCTTCTGGTTTCAGGATGGAAGTGCCATTACCTAAATGCTAAATCATATTTATGTTGCTGATCAATTATTTACAAAAGTAGGTTGTGATATTTGACGTGGTTCTCTTACTTGCTTTGTGCTTAATGGTATCCCAGGAATCACCGAAGGGAACAACAGCGCCAGCGAAAAGCAGTGATTCCCTTTTAGAGGAGAAAGCTAAAGAGGATGAACCACTAGTTTTTGCAAATAAGCAGGTGTGTAGTGAGACTTATTCCTGTTTTTAAATATCCCTTACCCCTATTTTTTTCATGCCAGGCAATCATTTGAAGAAGAAAACTCCGTCTCAAAATCCTGTTTTTGCTATCTGTGTTTTTTCTTTCATGAATCTGTTTGATTTTTATGTTGTTACTTAGGAAGCAAAAAGTGCATTCAAGGCCTTACTGGAATCAGTGAATGTTCAGTCTGATTGGTCGTGGGAGCAGGTATAGTGTTTTTTTCTTCATCTGGTTGGTGCCTTGCTTGTACTTCTCTAATCAAAGGTCAATGATGTCGACATGCCAGACAATGAGAGAAATTGTTAACGACAAAAGATATGGTGCCTTAAGGACACTTGGAGAGCGGAAGCAAGCATTTAATGAGGTAAACGTCAAATTAAATTCTGTTTTAGTGTATTTTACTTTATACCGATGACCCTTGCACTCTATTGTTGAGATTATGTTGTCTTGGTTCTAGTACTTGGGCCAAAGGAAGAAAATAGAAGCCGAGGAGAGACGCGCGAGACAGAAAAAAGCTCGCGAGGAATTTTCGAAGATGCTGGAAGTAAGTGGCATATAACTTTAGCTCACTTGATTCTTTGTTCCATTTTTTGTTTTCTGATTGTGTGAATCCTTGTGGTTTTGTTGATCTTATTCAGGAGTCCACAGAACTTACATCGTCCATGAAGTGGAGGTACAACTTTCGTTATGTTCTTGGTGACATCTGATGTTCTTATAATGTTCAGCTTCTCACTGCACCTTTTGCCCATTTCAGCAAGGCGTTAAGCTTGTTTGAGAATGATGAGCGGTTTAAGGCTGTTGAGAAAGTCCGAGACCGGGAGGATCTTTTTGACAACTACATGGTAGAACTTGAAAGGAAGGTATGAATCAATTTGTCCTTCTGTACTATCTATCGGTTCATTAGTCTGATCATTCATTATTCCACCCTTCTTTAATCCGGAACACGATCAAATCCTTTTCAGTTTCTGGGCAGTTGGAATACGCTGATCTTACCTTACAGTATTGAGATTAGAGTATTTGGTTACATTATCTTTAGTTGCATACTTTGCTGTATAATGTTTGCTACAAGTATAGAAATGCAGAGGAGCAAAACTAAACCTATTCCTTTCCCCCCTCCTTCCAGTGCATTCTCATTGGTGCTAGATGTTGAATCATTGAATAAACAAGTTTTTGAAGCCTGACTTTTCATGTTCACTGTGTATAAAAGCATCCTGAATGTTTGTTTGTCAATCCATTGTAGCATATTGTTTCAGTTTGTGCAATTCTTTCCTTTCTGCTTATTATTGACTTTTGTGTCTTTAATATCACAGGAAAAGGAGAAGGCTGCGGAGGAGCATAGAAGTAATGTATCAGAGTATAGGAAGTTTTTGGAATCTTGCGACTTCATTAAGGTACTCATTATTTAACACTCATGACACAGATGACTACTGTGAACCGAAAAGCTAGTCTTAAATGTTGTTTTATCGGCAGGTAAACAGCCAGTGGCGGAAAGTCCAAGATCGATTGGAGGATGACGAGACATGTCTGCGAATTGAGAAACTTGAACGACTGCTCATTTATCAGGTATAATCTTGTATATTTGTTTCTGAAGGGAATGTTTCGGAAATTTAAACTGGTAGTTGGTTGCAGGACTACATTCGTGACTTAGAGAGAGAAGACGAGGAACAAAAGAAGGCATATAAGGTACAGTATAGCTGCATGAATACTAAGTCCCATATACCATGACTTGATCTGGAAGTTGGGATTTTGTTGGAAGGTTGCCCCAGTGAAGAATGCAAGCTTCTTCTCTTTATACTTTCAGAGAATTCTTTTCTTAAATGTCCCTGCATTTATAATCAATCGTACTTATTTTTACATGGCTTGTATCTTAGCAACCTCATTGTATACAATTGCTATCTTCCTTCAAATTTTACTCCAGAAAACAACAAAACTAGCTTGTGCTACCAAGTTCAACAATCTCAGTATTCTAAATCAACACATCGATGATTTTAAGTCTGAATATATCTTTCTGTTTTTTTTTTTGTATTTACATTTTGAATTTGAAACAGGAACAGCAGAGGCGGGCTGAACGGAAAAACCGAGACTCATTTCGAAAATTGTTGGAAGGACATGTTGCAGCTGGTACTCTGACCGCCAGAACTCATTGGCTGGATTATTGTTTGAAGGTGCTTTCTTGACATATTTGTAATGAGTTAGAGAAATTTTGTTTCTTGAAAATGTTGTTTATGGGCTGGTATGTGTTCTGTTGGTCGCAGGTAAAGGATCTTCCTGAATATGAAGCTGTTGCAGCAAATACCTCAGGGTCAACACCAAAAGAGTTATTTGAGGATGTGTATGAAGACTTGGAGAAACAGGTAAGTATCTAGATTCTCTTGTTGTTTGCTTCATGATCAACTATGTTTCTGGTTTAGAATTGTGTTATAGTGACTCAATCATTTTCCTTTTAAACTTCTGTCTGAACTCTTGTACAGTTGCTTTCCTAGTTTCCTGACTTGCATGATTAATGACCTGCTTTGAGGAGACAAAATTTTAGATTTTAAACCCCAAGCGGCTGGCCTAGTAAAAAATAATATTGTACCATAACCTTGTAATAGTAACATTGCCCCATAGAAACATCTGCGAATTGTGGTGCTTCCTTATGGTTTGATCATGGGATGTGTAGAAAGGATTCTTCCTATGTTGTCTGGTTCTCGTGCCTGAAGGTTACCCGACTCAATTGCATGTTTTTTATGACTTTCTATTTCAATGGCACCATATTTATATTGTTGACATCATTCGGTATATATTCCAATTTTAAGCTTTTGACATTCTCATAATGTATTTTACTAACTTTAGCATATTAATGATGACAGTATCACGAAGATAAGACTCGCATAAAGGATGCAATGAAGTCAGCAAAGGCAAGAAGGAGACCCTATTTCTTCTTATTTTTTCCATTTCTATCTCACCTATTCCTAATTTCTGGCCCACTATTTCCAGATAAGCTTGATTACGACTTGGACTTTTGAGGACTTCAAGACTGCTATTGCCGAGGACATTGATTCTCAGTCTATATCAGATATAAACTTTGAGGTAGTTTACATGTTTTGCAATGATAAAGGCTTTGGAGTGTTTCATCCATCATCACTGCTGGATATTAATACATATGATGTTATAGACTTGTAGATATAGTGTTGGTATGCACATAGTGGTAGCTTGGATTAAATGACAATTGTGTGCACTTGGGCAGCTTGTATATGAGGATTTAATGGAGAGAGCCAAGGAGAAAGAAGAGAAAGAAGCTAAAAAGCGGCAGCGGCTTGCTGATGATTTTACAGAACTGTTGCATTCGTATAAGGTATGGCTGAATTTGTCTGAACCCTTACCTATGGTCTGTGCTAATGTACATGCTTATCTGGATATTAGTTTCTGGAATTGCTTTTTTGAAAATATTTGGTATATCATCTTTGAAGGAGATCGTCACATCATCTACCTGGGAGGAGTCAAAACCATTGATCGAAGATAGCCAGCAGTACAGGTCTCTGGAAAAGTTTCGTCACAATATAGATCAGTAACTTTTTTCTTTGTGGATAGGACCTTTTCCTCACATGACTTTTCTGTGGTTTTAGGGCAATTGGGGAAGAGAGTTTGAGCAAAGAGATTTTCGAGGAATATATTGCACATCTACAGGAAAAGGCTAAAGACAAGGAACGTAAGCGTGAAGAAGAAAAGGTACCCATTTCACATATCTGAGTATGGTTGTTTGCATAGCATTGTACTCTGCGGCTGGATTTATCTCTCCCTGCTGAGAACACAATTAAGTTGCTATGTTTTTCCCCCTCGTTTGGTAGGCGAGAAAGGAGAAAGAGAAAGAGGAGAAGGAGAGGCGGAAAGAGAAAGAGAAAGAGAGGAAGGAGAAGGAGAAGGAGAAGGAGAAAGAACGAGAAAGAGAAAAGGACAAGGGAAAAGAACGTAGTATGAAAAAAGAGGACACAGATAGTGAGAATATGGATGCTGTTGTTAGTGAGAGTCATGGGCACAAAGATGAGAAGAAGAGAGGGGATAAAGACAGCAGGAAACACAGGAAGAGACATCATCAGAGTAACAATGCTGCTGCTGCTGATGACATAAGCTCGGATAAAGATGAGATAGAGGAACCAAGTAGTAGAAAATCACGCAGACATGGCAGTGATCGTAGTAAAAGGTCCAGAAAGGTACTTCACTGTGGGGCCTCCAGACAACTGTTGAGTGACTGTTAAAAACTAGTGGGACTTGACGGATTATTTTTCATCTTTTTACCGTTGCTCCTTGCGTTTGTTGCAGCGCTCATACACACCTGAGTCAGACAGTGAGAGCCGGCACAAGAAGCATAAGAAAGAGCGCAGTAGGAATAGCGGTCATGATGAGCTGCTGGAGCTAGAAGATGGAGAAGTTGGTGAGGATGGAGAAATTGGGTTGTAGGTCTGTCCTCTTCCTAGCATACAACTTGTTTCCTTTTGTTGCTTAGGATGATTAGCCATTTAGGCCATGGAAAAAAAAAATACCATTACCCAGTACCCACCATCTTTACAAATGGCACCTGCAATATTGCGAGTTAAGTTTGGTACTCTTAGGTGACGGGCTTTGTATCAGTGGTCTGTCAATGGTAACCTTGGAAAGTTCATTGGATGATGTAGAGTCACAACGACTGTATCCTTGGGTCACTTAAAGTAGGCTGATTCAGATTGGTCCAGTTACTGGGTAGTTCCAACATTCCCATCGAGTGCAGGCAGTCTGCTGTGATGTGTGGGGACTGTTGTGTTTCTTGTGCCCTATGATTCAAGGACCAGTAGTTGTTTTAAAAGTTTCTGGGTCTGCTCAGATACTTCTAATAATAGATAATGTTAGGATCCATCGAGGTGTTCCTGTGCCAGTTGTCTAATTGGTTTATTATCTTCACCTTTAATGAGTGAAACTGTGTCTTTAATCCTACTTTTGGCACAGACTGGTCCCCCTTAATAGTCATCTTCTACTTTTGTTATCATCACAACTCACAAGCTTGGGTTCTTTTGTGTTTCTCAGTACAGTTAAACCGTTTAGACATGGAAATGTGCCCTTAGGTGGCTGTAGGGTAACAAGGGTCACTTTGAGTAAGGCTGGTTTCCATTGGTGCGGATGCCGTGGTCTTTTGTGTCTATGAAGGCACGTTAGGACCAGTAGTCATTTATATGTTTTCTGTGGTTGGTTTATACGTCTACATCCTGCAGTCCAGTGAAATGATCAAGGTGGCCTGTCATAGTCTAATTCGTTAATGATCTTTTATTATTATTTTGTTGAAATTATCAGAATGCAAAATTACCCATTCGCTACTATAAAATTCCTCGATTTCGTGCTTTATCGCGGTTTATCGTGCCAGATCGTACTGTAGGGCGACTAAGTCCAAGAGTTAAGGTTCTTTCCATACTTGGAAATATCAATGATGTTTGATGAACAACTCTAAACTCTCCAAAAAAGTAAGTGGCCAAATCTTCTCACCCTTCTAGGCACAAAATGGTCCCCCACAGTATGGGGATACATATCAGATCACTAAATCGATTGATCATCCATCTCATATTGAAACATAACTATCTTCATATGTAAAGTTCAAGTCAAATTTCTTGACCCTTGGTGCATGAAGCAGGTGAAAGCAGTTGAGAGAACTGGTGGAGCTATTTCTCTGTTGGTACAGTTGCGGGCAGAGCCTGCTTTTTGCTTATGTACAGGGATCCTAAATTTGGACTAAATGTGAAGAGAAATCAAGATGGTAGGTAAATACACGAGTTAATGGTATAGTAGGGGGAGAGATCACGGACCAGTCAAGTCAACCATGATCTCATCCTTAATCTCTTCCAGAATGGCATCTGCAATCTCCTGTCCGATCTCCCTGCACTGCTCGCCGTCATCGCTCCATTCTCGTTGCGCAAGCGAATCCGATAGCAGCTCGAACCCGCCTCCTGTTTTGCATGTCCTACTCCATGCTTGCGGTCTCATTATCCTAGCACTACTCGTACAACTCTGCATCCTGCTGTAATGGGTCTCTAGTTCCATCTCCTCTTGTATGCAATCGAACAGAAGCTGCTTCTTCGTTTTCTCCAATTCTAAACTGCTTGATTTCAGGGGATCCCCTGTTTCAGTAGCTTCAGCCCTGGCCATTGCTCTCTGTAACAGAACTCCCCACACAGATGCTGATGCAATAATGGATTCATCCACCGATACCTGGTTCGGTTTCTCTTCTTTCTTCTTCCTGATGATGACCTCACCTGCTGAATTATGCAACCAATTTGCATGACAAGGATGAAAGGGCAAACAAGAAAGATTGGAACTTTTGGAGATGATCAATACTTACTGCTGCTGCTGCTGTTCTTCGTTGGAGGGGAAGAAGAGTCTTCTTCTTGAGACGCCGGTCCTTCCAAAACCGAAACCGGGCTGGAATGCTGATCCTCGTCTTCCATGCATCGCCACTGGAGGCTTCCATCTGCAGCTATCTGGTTGTTCACCTTCTTGTCAGTGATCATGCAATTAGAGCAAAGGTACTAGCTTGAAACGAGGAAAGTTAGTTCTTTTGTACCTTTTCTTCATTAGAGTTGCAGAAATCCGCAAATGAAGAGGAGCAACTTGCTCTTCCTTCAACGTTATCACCCTCGGAAGAAAACCATATGAAATTTTTGGAGCTGCAGCTGGCGAAGGACAACCTCTCTTCTTCTGCCTCTGGACTCTGCTTCTGCTTTTTCTTCTTCTTCTTCCTTTTGAGCTTCTTGCCGTTGATGGAACCCACTTGATCACACAGATTTCTGACCACCTTGGACAAATGGGAGACACCCTTTTGGCCCTTCTTCCCGGAGGTGACACGGCAGCAGGTAAAGCTTCCTTCTTGTTCTAGGCTATTGCTCCTAATGCAGCAGCCTTTCTCAACAAGGTAAGTCTTCAGAACGAATGGTTCCTGCTGCTCTTGGAGAATCTGTCGAAGTTGTTTGACTTGTGAGTCAGCAGCCGCCATTGTTGGGGTGGAATTTGGAAAGCTCTGAAGAAGGAGAAGAAAGCAAGAGGAAGGAATGGGAATGGATGGCACTGAAATTGGCTGAATTAAAAGAAGGAAGAATGGGGGCAGGTGATGAATTTAGTGGGAGATTGTGAATGATACTCAACTGTGATGGAAAGGAAAAAAAGGGGAAAATACATGGTGGGACATAGAAGAAAAGGGAAAGCTCGAAGATTTCTAGGCTACTCTTCTCAAATGGCATTTAGTCATTTAATTGCTCGTGGGGGTAAGGCACCAATTCCATTCATATAAATTCTTTTTGATACAACTGGTCCCCAAGGATTTAAAAAAACAAAGAGACGACAATTTATACAAACCTAGATATCATTAGCATTTAGCAACGACACATTGGACTACAATGCCCCAAGTATGATAAACAACAAACACATTTGGAATGTCAATAATATAAGAAAACAAGAAGATGCACATATCGTGGTCCTTAGGAGCAATCATGGTCAAACAAAATTGATCTTTATAGATATGTTGGAGCTAAACCGCTTATTAACGTTGGATAAAATGTCAAATCATAGAAACAACTAAATTAAGATGGTGTTGGTTGACAACAATGTAAATCGGATGGTGCATGAGCGAGAAACAACTAAATTCAGATCATGTAAAATTTCTACACCAGCTCGATAGCAGTACTCCCACCATCCAAGTTGATGGCAAGGTTCCTTTCCAATTGCCCTTTTTTGGTCGATGACGAGGGAGAGTGTTGACGATTAATGTCCCACTTGAAGGGGGTAAATGAGTAGTTGCTTTCCATCTTATAACATCAACCTTCACCTCTTCTAGTTCTATCACATACGTACAAGGGCGGAGCTAGGATTTAACGATCGGGGAGGCCGAATTTTTCATAATACGTTACCGCAAAAGACTAAAAAAAAATAATTTATTTTATTATAAACACAACAAAAAATACATTAAGTTCAAAATAAATAAAAAAATTATATGAAATATAATAATACATTTTAATATTGTCATTGTATCGCGCGTTCTGTTTTCATTACTAAAAATCGCATATATATCAATAATAGCATTAGAAAACAATTACTGGTTATATAGTCTAATCGTTACAATTGAAGAACTTAATTGATAAAATTTGAAATTAAAGAATTTAAATCATGAATGAAATGATTAAATTGATTTTTTAGTCAATTGAAAACATAAAGGGGAATAAAATTACAAATAGTGCTCATGTATCTCGAACTACCCTTAAAATTGAAGAATTTAATTGACCTAATTTGTAATAATGGATTTGACAAAAAAAAATTATTAAATTTTGTTATTAAATCAAATTATAGAAGTTAATATGGCTAAATCGATTAATTGAAGTGCTTAATTAATTGATTTCACTTAAAATAAGCACTTGGCCAATCCCAAGGATTCTAACGAAGAAAAAAAATTGTTTAAGAAAAGGAGGGTAAACAGAAAAGAAAAAAAATGTATAAATATGCTTCCCAAGACCATCAAACCAGGGAATAGAAGCTAGATTCGTAAAATAGTATCCTTATTTCATATTAGACTAAACCAATCTCATTGTCATTTTATTGCACGTCAAAGTATTTTATTGAAACCGTTAGTTTATATGTATAATACCGAACATTTTATATATAACTTTCAAGATTTTCAAGCCCCCCCTCTCCCCCCGGAAGGCTTCTGTAGCTCCGCCCCTGCATACGTACTAGGTTATAGTAAAAACTGACCTAATAATCAATGTATACCATATTTCTCAGATTGCCTTTTCAAACCAAAACATATTTTTTCCCCCTGAAAACTAGGAAACATAAATTTTAGATGTCATACATGTAGTGTGGAAATGTGATTTGGCAAATGATATGATTTTTTTTGTGTGTGTGTAAATTCCTAGAAATACAGTGGGGTTCATTCCAAATTTTATCATCAAAATAATAGTTTGTCAAACAATCGCTAGATTTGAATTTTATATGGGAGATCAATTATTAAATATATGTTCGATAAAAAAAAAGTATTAAATATATGTTGTGATCTTATGAGCATATAATAATATAGCAATATCAAACAAACGTCTGGTGATCGTTGACAAACTTGTATTGCACGTACCATACATATTTAATTAGAGTGCAGGAGTTTAGATAAGATCAATCGGGACTTCATTTGGGGCGAAGAAGCAGACAAATCCAGGAGGCACCTGGTGGGATGGGATAGGATGACTATGCCAAAATCTCAAGGGGGAGCAGGGCTTAGACCCATTAGGCAGGCAAATCTGGCGATGCTCGCCAAAAGCGGATGGCGCATGCTTACTGAGAAGGATACTTTGTGGACCCAGGTGATGCGAGCAAAGTAAGGGCAACAGAGGAGAGACTTAGACTTGCTGAAACCAATTCAGGGAAGTTCCTTCACCTGGAACAGCTTCTCGAAAGCTTTTCCCATTCTTCGTAAAGGTTGTGCATGGAACATTAAGAATGGGCGGCATACTAAGTTTTGGCTGGATAACTGGCTCTTACAGGTACCGCTCAAGGAGGTAGCAGTCAGCCCGATACCTGAGGACGATCAGAATGCGACGGTGGCGGACTACGTGAACGAAGAAGGACAATGGAAGTTGGAGCTCATCACTAACATTCTCCCTTTTGAGGTCCAACAAAAGATGATGAGTGTGGTAGTGGACAACCTGTCTATGGAAGAGGATAGGCTTTTCTGGACGGAATCCTCGAGTGGCAAATTTACGGCAAAATCGGCATTCAAGCTTCTCAATACCTCACCTCCGGATCCAGACGAGAGATACTGGAAAATGATATGGAGCTTGCCGGTTCTCGAAAGGATAAGAGTTTTCATGTGGACTGTTCTTTTGGAGAGAATCGCGACCAACTCACTCAGATTTTCCTGGAAAATCGCCTCAGACCCTTGTTGCGCCCGCTGTCAAGAAGTTCCGGAGACAATCATTCATGTTTTAAGAGACTGCCCCATTGCTACTTTCTTTTGGTCACGACAGGTCGAAGCCAGCAAGCAGGGGAGATTTTTCAGCCTTCACCAAGCCGATTGGCTTCGAAAAAATTTGGCAAACACTGAGAGCAGCGCGATCGGGATGCCGTGGGCGGGGTTCTTTGCCACTTCAGCTTGGCTCCTTTGGAAGAACAGGTGCACCACGGCGTTCAAAGGGGCAACAGCAGCTCTTTCTCCCCCATCTCTGACTCATTCGATCATAGCCAAGGCCAAACTGTGGTATGCAGCGTGGACAGCGCCAGACTTGGAACTGGGAAATCAACGGTGGCAAGGGACTCGCATCACGGCCAGCATAGGATGGACATTCCCACCGGAGGGTTGGATGACTTTGAATGTTGATGGGGTGTCATGTGGAAATCCCGGCTCGAGAGGTGTAGGAGGGCTTATACGAGATTCTACAGGGAGGTGGAGAGCCGGTTTCGTGGCAAACATTGGATCTGCATCAGCTGCCCTAGCGGAAATTTGGGCATTGTTCTATGGACTCGAACTTGCTTGGAAGGAGGGTCATCGTGCCATCATCGTTCAGTCTGACTCTCAGCTGGTGATTCAACTCGTAGAAGACAGACAAGATCCAGTGCATCCTTATGCAACTTTGCTTATAGCGATTCGTCGCCAGGTAAGTCGAGATTGGCTGGTTCGCATCACTCATACGTACGGAGAAGGGAAGAGCCGCGGACTGGCTCTCGAAGCACAGTCGTCTATCCCTTTGGTATGTATGAGCTTGCGGACCCGCCCACAGGCTTAACTTCGATTCTGCGTGATGATATGACAGGTATTCGTTTCGAGCGGAGGGTTGTCTCCAGCTCTCTTACCCCATCTTCGTAATCCCCTTTGTAATTTTTCTTGGCTTCGGCCTCCTGCTTCACGCAAAAAAAAAAAAAAAAAGTAATTAGAGCCTATTTCACCAAGTACTCATGCCTTTGGGCGACTAAAATCATTATTATTATTATTATTATTATTATTATTATTATATATAAAGCTGAAGTTTGGTTACGGTTGCCAAACAAATTGCAAATTATTCAATATAATGCAAATTGTTTCAATTTTTAGATTTCATTTGAATCCATGAATCTAATCCACCATAACATAAAAGTATAAATTTAGTTTGTGCCGTACAAGATATTGTATCAAACTTCTACTTATTACATGTAACAAAATATGCCAGATCTACATAAGTAAGTGTGAATAAATTGCCACGGTGAAAATGGTTGATTGTTGTATTCAAAGCAGTTAAAATCGGGATTTTAGCTAAAATAAAAAACTGGGGGTAAAATCGTAGGATTTTAAGTACCATATAGAACATAACATATAAGAATATTAGTAAGGTAAATCATTAATAACACAAAGACGCATAACGTTTAAAATGATAATTCTCAAGTTTTTTTTACAGAAGATAATTCTCAAGATTAATGTTCCAAAATTACTATTTTAATTGTTATTTAATGCGTAACTCAAAATAATTCATGATGAAGGGATGGAGCTCATGGGGATTGGCTCTTGTTTTCATGTTGTGTCTAGGTAGTTTAACTCAAAGTAATATTTCAACATCGTCTACTAAGTATGATTTAAAAGTAAAAATAATTGAACTCCAATAAAATAAGTAATGCTAGTGGCTTGATATAAATATATTCATTAATAAATTAATTAGTTAATAATGATGTTAATTCTTACATACTTCCAATATTAGGACAATTGTTTTACGAATAAGTTAAATAGGGCGAAGGGAAAGGGATTAACCGAGCCCTAATTTGGTTATTTTTAAATGTTTTTCTAATAGAAAAATATATGAGAAGATTCCCGTCATTGTCCTTTCCGTTGAAACAGTTATGCTTCTTTTAAATTGGCTCAAACCACCTATTTTGTTCTCATATGATCAAAATCCCGATTTGGTACGATTTTAATTCCAATTTTAAACGACTTTAAGGTCCACCGATTTTATAGTAAAATCAGGATTGGAATCCCTAAGTGAAATCCTAAAATCCTACGATTTTACCATCAAAATTCCGATTTTGACTGCATTGGTTGTATTGACGGCCAACTAAAAGAATTGGTCAAAACCTTTCCATCATCTACTTCCTTTTCATTTCATTTTTCGCTCGC